AATTGGAATTTTTCACACACAAGCCTTGCTATATGAGCTCTCAAAGCATATAAAAATTATACGGCTTAAATGTGAAGTTGGGTGCAAAAGAATACAATTAAATCCTCTGTCGGGAAAAAACGAAATGACTTTCCGAACAACCCTATATAATGTCCCAAATCAGAGTATTAATCTAATTCTAACCTAAAAACTAAACATGAAGAACTTTTAATCACAATACACCCGCACTAAAAACGTTAAGTACCTCCCACCATGCACCAACGTCGGCACTGTGGGAGCGACACTGCATCCTCCCCCTCCTTGTGCAGCATTCCGATCAGCTTCCTATGTACGCATTCGCACGGGAGTCAAAACGTAGGGTTCCATACAAAAAAAAATTGTATTATCTACATGTGCATAGATAGGTAGGAGCAAAGGGGAGGCACTCCCCATTTAGCAAGTTCATTGCCCTTTTTGGGGTCACAATATCGGCATGGAATTTCAAAACATACAAACCAAGCACATTAAATCTATATAAACATACAGCTATTTAAAATCTATCTGATCCCCTAGGAAAAATCTCTAACTGCGCCCATGACCATATCGTTTTCATAAATTGGGTGCTTCCTACCGACATTAAGTTTAAGGGGTAGATAAGCATTGCGCAAGAATAAAAAAAGGATTGAACAAAAAAGAACTCATTACGTAAAATGTTGTAAATAAAATCGAGTGGAAATAGGGGATGATGGAGTTCCACAGTGCTTATACGCGAGCCGCCACTGATTATGGCGATGGAACGGAGTTTTACCAATAGACAAACGATTCCGGTAGTGTAGTACTCGTTACGAGGCGTAATACCTTCGTCTATGGACGTCTCCACGGGATTCCCCGGAGATACAACAATACAAGAAAAGAAGAACATTCAAGTGATTGATCGCTACTCAGTCTTTTCCGTTTATTTTATTTATTGCCTGCCACTGTTCCTATTCAAACACGGTGTAGATTCCAGTTCTATCCAAATACCTCTCGAAATCGCACGAGTAAGAAACGCTTAATACTCAAAATAGAGAATACGTAGATATCTTTCTTTCTATGCATTAGGTGCGATGAATCGAAAACAAAAATTCAAAATTATGCGCCCCAATTCATTTTGTTTCCTGAAAATGTTTTATTTTATTGAAAAGGCTCGTCAGTTAGAAAGGAAGTAGTCGTTTAGACGTACCTACCACAATAAAAAACGACGAGAGCGTTTAACAAATGTCCGGCTATTAGCTGAAAGGACATTCTTAATCTGCTGACTTTGCAACTGCATTAAATAAAGCAGTTTCCCTGGATGAAGCCACTTTTTTCAGTTTTAAAATACTGGCAATTTATATACGCGCCACTCTCAACTGTTAGTATTTACTAAATTAATTGGGCATAAATTTTACGTAAAATATAATGCGTTTTTTTATCGAATAGATTGCTACATCTTTGATAAAATTGCAAAATTATAGCATACTTGCTATGAGTAAATTTATTAACAATATTGTGTTGAATTTTCCGTTGTCTAAAGAAAATTTGAATTTTATTTTAACAATTAAGGATCAACGTTTCGTTTATAAGTGTAAGGCTTCTTCAGAGTGGATTAAGTGTTCTTTACTAATAGGTTATTATCAATTACTTATCACGGTATGTATCTTATTGCACTAGAAGAAGCCTAAATAATTGTTTTTGTACGGTTTATTGTTTAAATGCATTGAAAATGTTGGAATTAAGAAGCAAGTGCATGCAACCCTCCAATCCCATGGAAACAAAATAGATGTTTATTAATATTATACTAATTACTGAGTTAACTACAATATTACCATAATATTTCAGCTACCACTGAAACAACATCAACTACAAGTGAGTTATTTGTATTTTATACAGGGTGTGACATCTACAATCACTAAAACGTACTTTACACTAGGCTACAAAAACTTAAAAGGGTGTTGTAAATACGTTTCTGTACAATAGAATTATTACTACATTCATTTTTTAATTTCCACAATTTCTTAGTGGTTATAGGTGTCACATTCAGTATATTTAATCAAAAATTCATGTTATGTTACCTCTGAAAATTGTCTTTCTATTTGCTACTCTTACTGTTTCATGTTGCAGTGTGCTATAACAGAATTTGGGATGAATAAATATTAGCTTATAATTAACTAATTTTGACGCAGTTTGCGAAACTTTAATGGTTTACTTCTCTCTCCAGTGCCTGTTTATTAACGTGAAATGTCATTATCATGTATTTATTTGTTACAAGGAAGACTTTGTAGTCTTTAATTTAAAGTCTGAGAGAACTAAAGCTCTTCTTATGTAACAAACATAAAACTCCTCGAATCCTGTATGCGCCCTACACCACAAGATTGTATTTGTTATTTTCGTATTCTGTAAGCCAAATATTCTATGTGGTTTGGACTCAAAGTATGGATATTATCTAATTAAGAGAAAAACATCATTCTTTGTATACCTGAATGCATGATTTAACAAACGTGTTCATTATTATATTAGCACGCCGAAGACAGTTCCAACAAAATAATATAAAACAACAAAACAATATTAGTCGGTGCTCTATCGGAACTGTCTGCGGAGTGCTGATGAGATCCAAGGAGAGTGAGATCGCGATCTGCGTTATCGACAGATTACTAACCAAAAATTTGGATATGTTATGGGAGTCGATTTGCTTAATCGCGAAAGGGCCTTGTTAAACATTTATTTCATTACTACTTACATATTAATATTATATTTTTTTTATACGTAGTTCATTGATATCCAGAAAATGAGAACATAAGTTGATCGTAGTTGTTCATTAGATCGTACTTATAGGCGATAAATTGTAGCTTCAGTTTTTGTCGTTTTTCTATCTTTTAAAAACGCAAACAATCAGGAACTTAAATGGACCAAGATAGCTTGTTATAATTTGTTATTAGATGCAACGCATCGATATAATTCAATCATCGTATATTTATCCTTCATGTGTTTATTTACGTTTATTTGTAAGAGGCCTGTAACATCCACCTAATTTTTTCATGAAATAGTTTCCATATAAAAACACAAATAGTATTTTCAATACTAAAGTTGTTTCCAAAAGAAAATTTACATTAAGATCGAGAGACTCGAATCTCTGAACGAGGGACTCGAATCACTGAGCGAGAGACTCGAATCTCTGAACGAGGGACCCGAATCTCTCAATAAGTTGTGTCTCGATAGACATGGTTAAAATTTTCAAAAGTTCAACATGTTTCAGAGATTCCAGTGTTTCTACAAGAGACTCGAATCTCCCAATTTTTCAGTTTTATTCATTCAGTCTCTCTGTAAGAGACTTGAATCTCTGAATTAACAATGTTATCGTTCGAGTCTCTCATACAGAGACTGTGAGAGATCCACAAAAACACCTAGACAATAACTGAGAGACTGTGAGAGACGCTCTCAGAAACGCTGAAAGACTCTGCTGAACGAGACTGGAGAGACTGAAAATTTTTGTCTAGGGTTTCCTTATTTCCTTTTGCATTACCACATCTTCATCAGGAGCATTTATAACAACAATAATGTTCCCCTTAGGAGTTGAATTTTGAAATATCTTCCGTATTCCTAGTATATATCACAAAGAAAAGCTCTGTATAATACTTCAGCCATCTAGGTCCAGAAGTTTAATTCGAACGTTGATGAGTCGGTGACTCTCTCGAAGATTCTCTCCGATGAGTTATTCCTAGAAACCTCGAATGTCTGCACAGTTACTGTGACGGTTCCGTAGGATGCAATTTTTCCTTCCAGCATCTACAGTAAATGTCGATGTGCAAGAATTGAGACAAAAATTATTTCTTACAGAAATGCCTGATCAGAGCACGTATCCAGAAAGTTGGTGGGAAAAAGAAAACAATTTACAACATAGGATGCTAGCTGACGTGGCGAATGGTATTAAAGAAAAAGATTCTTACTTGCTTTGTTAAAAAAAAAAAAACATCTAATTCACTAACACATATTATCCGCCGATTAATAATTTATTGAAATGAATGCTTGATGACATTAACATGTGGGAGGGGCAAAGCTCTTTCTGCTAATACAACAGTTGAAGTTGTCTAACAAAAGCGTTTTGTAGTAGAAAGCTTTTTAGTGTAGCTAAAAATGTTAAAAACGACAAAGTGGGAAGACATTGGTTTCTCTTTTTTACAGTTCCGGCTGCCTATATAGCTAATGAAGGAGATATGTACGTTAGTCTAGGAAGCACTCTCAACTTGTCGTGCATTCTTAATACAAGCGATTCGCAACTGTTTTGGTATCACGACGGTGAGGTAAGTCAACGTTTTCCATCAAATTAGTTTATAACAAAAAAAACAAAATGCAGCTCAGACCAAATATCTCTGTCGGTGAAATATAGCGAAGTGAGAGAGGGTAGTGATAATGTGACGCTAGAGGACATGAAGTCTTGAAAACAGAACCGGAATGGTCATATTAAAGGGGTGCCAATTATCATGTATTCATTAAGAGGTTATTTAGGTTTCGGAGAATAACAAAAGCATACTTTTTGAAGCCAAGTTCTACGACGGCAAGGAACTAACCAGCAAAAGTCAGCGTTGCCAGATGAATATGCTTTTATTACCTAGTTTCTTACCGAAATTTGTATGTACTTCTCTGGAAATTGTATAAACATAAAGATCCATTTGCAAATATTTAAAGAAGAAATTCATTTGGCATAAAAATTAAATTATATTATACATTAAAGAAAAATCCCCTTTTCCCTAAGCTGGCTCCAAAGGAAAAGGTCTAGGAAAATTTCCTTACGTCTGCCAACGCTGGCCAAATGTTGAATGTGTTAGTGGACATCTCTCTCCCTCCTTCATACTCCCTGCAGAGGGAGAAAATGCTGACAAAGTAGATTCGATTAGTCTGCCATGTAGATGTTTGATATTTGACAATCCGTTGTTTTTACAAAATACCAAACATTCATCATTAATATATGTCAAATGATGTAAGAAACTTCGTTATTACCAACTGTGCCACAACACCACACAGCTTATTGTCTAATGCTAATTTATTTTATTCAAAATTCAAAATTAACCGTTGGAACTTGGTTTTCAAAAACCCCATAGAAAAAGTATTCTCTCGGTGGTCAGAATAACTCACAGTAACTTTATCTCAAACCACAATACTAAAAATTTTCTGTTATCAGGTAAGTAAGTAGGTAGTTGTACCTTCATGATTGAATGATGGATTAAAAAAAAAACAAATTTGAATATTCGGTTCCCACCAGTACAAATTTGGAAGGGTTCAACCAGTGTTATTGTTTCTTTATCTTTATTTTCAATTTTTTAACTGAAATTAATCCATCATTGAGTTTTTCTTGCATTAGATGTCTAAAAAAATGAGTTTATGTCAATGTTACCTATCTTCTTTTTCCCATAATATGTGTTTTGTATAAAGTATATCGTACTGTCCTGTACCTATAGTAATAATGACTGACGTTGTTTGAGTTGAACTATTAAAATATTCCTAAGAATATTATCTGTATTTTAGAACATGGACGGATTGTAACTACGTAAAATACGATTTTACTGCGTGACATTGACCGTGAGTCTTCGCTAGCGTGCGCGATTGGATTGGTAGTTCGGATTACTAAATATATAGAAATCGAAATTGTAGGTAGATATAGTTGAGGCGATCAAAATTGGCGAAGTTCGCAATATATTATCTGTGAGAATGGACGTATACTTCGTTTAGTTTCTCTAGCGATGTGACCTTTAGTTTGACCGGCGCAAAGTAGAAAAGAATAGCACTGGGCCAGAAAAGAAAGGAGACAGCTCTCGGCCAAACTCTTAACCGGTGAGGAGCGTGTAATCCGTACAGTACGGCACGGAAAAATTGACCATATTATCCACTAAAATTGCATTGCTCAAATTTGCTGTTATTGGTACCAATTACTACTAAAAATATTAACGAGATGTTTATTTACATTTGAAGACATATTAAAGGCTTTAACGCTTGTTTTCGACTCGCACTACCATTCATGATTGAACAAAACTTTTAGCAGGTACTTTAATGAACAAGAGTCGAGAGTATAATGAGCTTTTTCTCCCTACCTACGATTTTGCTAGCGCGCATCCAAGACATCGATGGAGAAAGTAAAGGAAGTATACCTTCTTTCTTGTTTCCACTTAGGACTGTAGTTATTTGCTGCATTTTGAACACACCGTTGTTAAGTTAGGAAAGGCTTCATGAGTAGTACAAAGTGAAAAGAGATAATAGTAAGCGGTGCAGCGGTTAGAGATTGCTTAGGTATGCAAATGATCGGGGTCGGCTTTATAAATGCTTGGTTGGAATTATATCCTTAAATAAACGTCTGTGCTTTCCTAAATTCGTGAGAATGTTAAACTTTTTTTAAAGTCCGCTGCCGGAACATACTCAAATTCTACTTGTCTATATCTCTTTCTGTCAGATATAAATTGGTGTAACGATATTTCTTTTGAAAGAAGAAAGTAAATGCGATAGTTTTATTGCGAACTATGCCAAGTTTGAACGTCCTTAACTGTAGGCATACACGAGCAGAATTTTTGGAACATCTGATCCAATGAATTCGATCCTGTTATCCGCAAAGGACAAGATCCATCAAGCTTAGTCCTTTAGTGTATCCGTGCACTAACAAAAAAATGAGAAATGTGTAATATTTTCGGACTGAGTCGGGTCTCTGAATGGTTAGATCCATCTGATCCTTTAAAAGGATTTAAAATATCTACAGCATTTCTAAAGTGTAACTTACGAGTGCTATTATTGCATTCTGATAAAAATTGAACATATTAGGTCCACCAGTAGTTGTAAACAATGAACTAGGCATATCCGAAAAAAGACTAGGCCCGTCTATAGTTTACCTCTACACACCATTGGATACCTATTTTAAGGAACTTGTTCCGGAAAAGGTCAAATCTTTTAAAAATTCTACTCGTGTATGCCTACCATATGAAAAAAACTTTTACACAATTCGAATGTTCAAATTATACAGGGTGTTTCCTAAAAATTCAAGGGATGATTCCAGAGGTGCTTTTTGAAGAAATTTTCCTATTAACATCTGTCGAATAATGTTTCTGGAGGAAACTATGCCCCTTCAAATGGGCAGTTTTTTTCGGTCTTGGCTCGAATACACATAACCCGCGGAAATTCACAATTCGCGATACTTTTTGAACAGGCCTCGTATACTGTATAACCTTTTGATACTGAATCAGAACATGCGCTAGCAATTTCAAAATTTTGGTCTAAAAGTAACTCTCGTTTTTAATGGTAGTGTTTTAGGGCTAATCGTTTTAGATGTCGTCAAAATATCCCAAATAAAATTCAAAACAGATTCATTGTCAAAAGTCTATGCAGTATAACAAATTTCATAATTCTGGTATGAACATTTTCGGAAATATTGACGAAAAATCGCATTCGGGATAATTCGCATCACTTAGGAAGCATTTTTCGACAAACGTCTTCATAAAAACACTTTAGAAATCAATTTTTTTTTAATTTATTCCGCATGTTTAGGAAACACCCTATATGCAATATTAATTATCCAGTCATTATTGTAATTGGACTGCCCTTTTGCTGTTGCTATTGCTATTGCTCTACCGAAAACACCCGCACAAAAACATTTGCTCTGAGCTGTAATTACATAAGTTAATATGTACCTAATTAAAATTTCCCCAAAAGCTTTTCCAGTGTTTATTTACATGTGTGTAAATTTTTATCGTACAAACCTTTCATGTTGCAAGTTGCACGTCCTTTTTAATCCGGGAGGAAGACGCTCAGTCGGGAATGCAGACTGAAGGTGTTTCTGCTTTTGTTTCAGATAATTAATTACGATTCGTTACGGGGTGGAATTACTATTATTGTTGAAAAGAGTAATATTACTGTAAGCACTTTACATATAAAGAATACTAGCATTGAGGACTCCGGTAACTACACATGCAGTCCTTCTAATGCTAACTCGGCTAGCACTGTTGTACATGTTATCAAAGGTGAGTGTTTCGGTTCATTAATTGTTTTCGTTTGTTTTTTTTTTTCTTTTCTTTTCTTTATATTGACCCTTATATACCTGAAATGCTCGGAATCAGTTGATGAGGGATGTGACGCGAGTGTCTGCTAATTTGAATAACATGAATGGATTTATTATTCACATGTATAGGTTCGACGGTTATTTGTCCATCGAAAATATTAAAGGGAAGACGGAAGTGCAAGTGTAGGCAACCCCGTTTCGCAAGTAATATAATTTATTTATTGAATTAACTAAAATATTACTATAATATTTCAGATAGCACTGAAAACGCAAGTGAGTTATTTGTATCTTATACAGGGTGTGATATTTACAATTACTAAAACGGCAAATGTGAGCTACTTAACACAAGACTAGGGTGGAACAACTTACCCTTAAAAAAATCTGTTCTAAATACGTTTCTGTGCAACACAACTATTAATACAACGTTTGTATTTTAATTTTGCCAACAATTTTTAGTTGTTGTAGGTGTCATACTCAGTATATTTTATCGGAAAGTCGTTTATATGTTGCCTTAGATCGTTTACCTTTGAAAATGCCTTTCTATTTGCAACTCTTATAGATTCATGTTGTATCGCCTTATAACAGAATTGGGGAGTTCTAATTTCGATTGTAGTTCGCGAAACTATAAAGGTTTTCCTCTCTCTCTATAGTGCCTCTTTATTAACGTAAAATGTCATTCTACTTGTATTTATTTGGTAAAAGGAAGACTTTGTAGTGGTATAAGCAACGTTTAAAGTCTAAGAGGACTGAAATTTCTCTTATGTAACAAGCATAAACTCCTCGAATCCTGTATGCACTGTACACCGCAAGATTGTATTTGCCATTTACGTGTTCTGTAAGCCAGATATTCGATGTGATGTAATATTTGGAGTCAAAGGAACGATATTATCGACTTGTACCTACTGAACAAACATCTTTCCTTTGTATATCTGAATACATGAATCAGCGAACACGTAGGTTCTTAATTCATTGCTTTCAATTAATACGAGACAGTTGTCAGTAATATTAATATTTATCCGGAATCATGAAAATTAGTATATAACAGATTCGTTGTATAGATAGTAGATTTCGGTTTCCTTTCAACGGTTCAAGTTTACTTACTATCATAAAACACCGTTCAGCAAATAACTAGAGACAGCGTGGTGGACGACATCTATAGAAATTAGCCACTTCATTCCTTCATTGAGTTGGCGTGCTGATGAGATATGGAAATCACCGTCAATTATCATGAAGGAAGGAGCACGAGATATTATTAAGATATTGACTCATTTTATGACATTGGCAGACCTCAATATCCAGAGAGTTAGAATATTAGTTGATCGTGGTTACTTTTTAATCGTGTGTGCCAAGCCTGTTCACCCTTTTTAACAGTAGGGTGAAATTGACGATTTAAGAACTGGCAGGCCACTGATTATTGATGAATTGGCGGTCGCTATTTTTGTTACCTAAGCTGTTTGAAGTCTTGGATTATGCCACAAAAAAAATCAACATTTTGATTTTTAATTGTTTATTAAAAAATACTAAAATAGATAGCATCTACTACCGAATGGAGAAAAACATTTTATGTAACAAAAATTTAAATCCAAGTAATTGGTACAATCATTGTGGTTTCTGATTTTGCTAAGCTAAGTGTCAGTTCAGATATTGACAGTAAGAACAAATCAAATTTACATTTATTGATTCAAAACAACTTAAAAATTGAAAGGTCAGGTCAGTTATTGCAGGGCAGTTTTCCTTTCGCAACAATTTAAGAAATCATCTCCAAATTCTTCTGAAGAAGTTTATGACTCTGACAGTATTCTATCTGCAAAACAACTAATTATTGGCACGATAACTGATTACTTCAGTCAAATTGATTATGAAAGGATTAACATTTGGTCTTGTACTTTCAGTGTCCTAGAATTTAGTCTAAATTTTAGTTTCGTAATACTTTATGGTGGCTTCTATTTCAAAATGTTATATACCGGTTACAAATTGCTCAATTTCCCGAGCTATAACAATGTCTTTTCCTTTTTTAGTCCTGAATGAAAATTTCCTTTCCACCTTTTGAGACACTTTCTTTTTAATTAAGTATTACAATGCAAATCGTGCATAAAACACATCTGACAAGCGACCGGTTCTGTAAAAATTATTAACGACGTTCCCGCCAAAACAAATTGTTAAATTAATCAAGTAATTCAATCATGCAGTATCAAAGGTTTAATTACAAATAATAATAAATTCATGATCCGTTAGATCGGAAATATGTTACATTTTATTCTGGTTATCGGAACTCAATAAATTAAGTAGAATTGTCAGAAATGTCACAAAGAGAAATCAATTTCTGTTTTTTCATTCGTGCTAGTAATGAGCAAACAAAATGCTAATATAGAAATTTTTAATTGTTTGGTGGTCATCGTTATTATTCTTCTTCTTATAAAGCTAAAAAAATGCATATAAAATTGCTCTTTTGTTTTGAATCAACCAAGTTAGTAAGTTTTGGAATACCCTGTACATCGTACATTCAAGTTGAGTACAGTTAGAAGTTAAAACATTTACGTATATATATTGCTAATACTTAAAAACAATATGCATTTTTACTTACATAAAATTATTTCATTTTATTTTGTAACTGTATTAAAATTTAAGTAAGAATCTTGCTTTTGGTTTTGGTCTTATTCGTTTAGTCTTGGGCTTCGTCGTAATTGTGGTCTTGTGGTCTTGCTAAATGTGCAAACAAAACAAAACTGCAAGACCAAATCAGTTTCGCTCATTACTAATCCTTGTTACGTTAAGTTTCAATGTATATGCTGAAAAATTATTCTCTCAAACTTTTAGCTCTTAATTGCAACTTCAAGAAGCTATTACCCTAAAAAAATCATGTGTAAGAAGCTTTTGTTTAATTCCTGTATTATTTTGTTACACATTATGTTATCACAATGCTGAGGGCTCAATGTTTAGAAAATTTATTGCACATCGAAGATGTCTATATTGCATTTGATTCTGCACATTCCAAAAGTAATTTATATGTAAAATTTAAATCTTTCTGCTTGTAGCCAGTAAATTGTCAGACTACTGTAAAATTGTAAATGACAGTTTTGTAAGGAATGTTATTCTTATTCTCTAAAGGTCACATCTCTGAAAACTAATATACTTTAAAGGATAAAATGGCTTAAGTGATTTTAAAATTTGAGTTTGGTTTTATTGAAACATGTTTGAAAACGTACAGAGTAAAATTTCATATAAAATTGCCGTTTGCATTTTAAGCAAAAACCATGAATTTTCCGCATAAAATGTCTTTCCAGATTTGCAAAGTTTGAATGCTTCATTCATTGAGAGGGCCTTTATTAAATTACTTTCTGAGCATTGTGATGCGTAAAATTAAATTGAGTAACATGAAATTTAGAGTCTACTTTAAATACTCTTTAAAGGGAAATACTTCAAAAAGAAGTAAAAAACAACTTTTACGAATGAAAAAACAAAATTGTGTATGTATATATTATATTTTGACCAGTGGCGACTTGTAGGTTGGTGGGGGTACTGCTCCAGAAAATTTGTTTTAAAATTCTGTTTTTCTATTAAATAAGATATATTAATAAATATCGGGTTGTTCGGAAAGTCAATTCGTTTTTTTTTTGTTGAAATGAAAGACAGTTTTCGTATAATAAACAAATACTTTATTAAATTATATATTGACCGTTCTGGTCCAACACCTTTTACCATCTTTCTGGTAGTAGCATAATTCCACGCTCATAAAATTTTTGGTCTTTGCTGGCAAAAAAACTGATCGATGAGGTTTTTGACCTCCTCATTTGAGGTGAAGGTTTTACCGTCTAAAAAATTTTAGAGTGACCGGAACAAATAATAATCCGATGGTGCCAGGTCTGGAGAATATGGTGGGTGTAGCATTATGTCCCATTCAAGCTGTAAAAGCTTTTGGCGAGTGACCAAACTTGTGTGAGGTCTCGCGTTGTCTTGGTGAAACACTACACTTTTCCTGTTGATTAGTTCTGACCTTTTCTGTTGAAGTGCATCATTCAGTTTGTCCAGCTGATGACAGTGGACTTCCGAACTAATCGTTGTGTTATCCGGTAAAAGCTCAAAAAAACGATTCCTTTAAAATCTCACCAAACAGACAGCATCACCTTTTTTTGGTGAATATTAGCTTTGGAAATGGTTTGAGCAGGTTCATCTTTTTTTCTCCATGACCTCTTGCGTTTGACGTTGTTGTATACAACCCATTTTTCGTCCCCAGTGATGATGCGCTTCAAAAACGGATC